ATTAACATTGTTTAAGTTACAAATATAATTTATCATCTACAAAACAAACATATGCTACTTATACAAGTTTAGTTACTTGATTTTAAGGGTTTTCACATTAAATTTTAAATAACTAATAATTATAATTTGTATTCATATAAATTTTTTAACATATGCAATACATATATTCACATAATCTTATGTAATATATTATTGAAAAATGATCGAAAAATTATATTTTTAAAAATTTCGACTTGGAATTGCAATAGATTAATGTAGAAACTCTTTGTTTTGAGTTGTTCAATTTGTTATTTTTTTTTTTAAAATGAATGTATTTAAGTATACCGATTTTGCCTACTTAATTATAATTCAAAGAAGTAAGAATGAATATGTTGAAACTGAATATAATCATACACAAATCATTAAAATATACAAATATGACATATTCATAAAAAACAGATATAACAAAAATAAAAATGAACATGATGAAATTCTTTTTCATTCTCATTAGAAGAGATGAGGTATAATAATTAAAAAAAATTTTAAAATTTTACACAACCAATTATATAAAATATATATAATTCACAAATTTTTTAGTGATTTTATTCATTTTATATTCATATGCTGTTTTGGTTTCAAATTTATAGTTGTTATTAACCTCAAAAGCAAACATTTTATTTATTAGTTTGTTTTTTAAATAAATATATTAAAATAATTTTGTATTGGTTAAACAAGAGAAGAAAAAAAATTTTAATGTAATTATTTTATTGTTTTTAAAAAACACATATATAATTGGAGTAAAAATGAAAATGATAAAAAAGAATAGATATCTTCATGATTTAAAGAAGTGAATGTATAATATTTTATCATCATGTCAATACTTTGTTTAAAATTACCATTTGATTAATTTGTAAAATTTTTAGTTAGTTTGGATATATTAACTTATAAGTGTTTGACCAGATAATACGTTTTTGAAATATGACATACTATATATAGATTAAAAAAAACCGTTAAAACCTCATAATTTACATAAAAATTATTAGATTAACATCATAATATTTTAAATATATAATTAAAACACTAATATAGAAAATTTATATCTTGATAAATATAATTGATTGCATATAATTTTTATCAACCAAATACCCACGCGTAGCGTGGACGCAAAATCTAATATACATAAAAAAGTCTTGAAACCCAAATATTGGTCTAATCTATATAAGACTTCATTAATTAGTGATCTAATTTGTTTAGGTGTGCGACCATGAATTATTGTATAATATTAGCAATGAGTTCTCAACTCATAAATTATAAACAGTTTCTAACAAAACATTATAACTATCTCACATTATACGATTATTAAATCTCGACAATACAACTTTTACTAGAGTAAAGTACAAATGATTTTAGGACATTCCTAACACAAACGGGTTTCATTACACAAACAGTAGCCCACTCAACTTCTCACCAAACATTGAGCAGGAAAATATATGAGTTTTACGGGTTTCAGGCCAAACTAGGAAACTAGCTCGATTGACACACGTGGTGAGTCTAGTGACAAATACATGCAGTTGTCTTTTTTTTTACTATGAGTATGAATGATATTAAGGAATGACAGTCTAAGGCTTTACAATAGTTGTACTACCTAAAGATTGTTACCTTGGCAAATAGAAATAAAAAACAATGCATCAAAAATTTAAGGAAAATAATATCCTCACTGAAGCCACAAGGACATAAGCTCACCAAAATGTTTCCTATGTCTTCTAGCTGTGTTTGAGTTGCGAACTAGCTTGTCGATATCCTTGAAGATTGCGGCAGCTGGGATGTTGGATTTTAAATTACGAAGTACGTTGTTTCTCTGTCTCCACATGTTGTAGATTGCTGACCAACCTCCTGAGAAGACTCGAGGAGCTCACGGTTTTCCCGTTTAACCAAGCTACGAACTCCACTATTGATATATAATATCACACTAAGGGGTAAAACAGTAATATTCGAATCAAAAATCTCGTTTTATTAGAAGATAGTTCGGAAAAAATACAACTTGGGTTAAGGTCGTCGTAGTCTCGACGACCTCGTTAACAAAAGGAGAACTCGAAATAAAATGACGATCTCAAAGTTCTTCAAATGTCTCTCTCTGCTCTTGATTTTTTTATATCTCGAATGAATGAAGTCCTCCCCTATTTATACAAATTCTAAGGTGGTTTGAGAAGAACTTTCATTTTCCTTCTCGATATGGGATTTAGCATTTTTCTTTCTCGATATTTCCAAAAATTCTCCGTGAAATTCGGGAGGTCGGCCAATTTCGTAAACTGGGCTTTAATAGACCTTCTAGAAAATCGTATGTCGGCTCACCCGATTTAACTTTGATTCCAATCTTCGTAAACCGAGGTCTCTCCGGACTGGTCTCGATTAATACTGGGTTAAACTGGGGGTGCGAAGTACACCACCAACAGTAGGTCCCCCCTTCAGTTCGTCGAAGGAGTTTTTTTTTAAATGAGTTCGGCGAAATTCATAGATTCTTTAGCTCGGTTTGAATTGAGATCGGAGATAATTTGGCTGAAAAAATTTCTTGTCACTCTAATCTTGTGTCACTTGGCACAACTTCCATCTTTAAATAGCTTTCTTGTACGGATTTCAATTAGTACGGGTTTTCTAACGGGCCTCAATCCTTTATAAATACTCCTCTTCACTCTCATTTCTTCACTTTTTCTCCACCACTTAAGATATAAAGCTCTATCTTCTCTCTAGAACTTTCTCTTTCTACTTTTTATTTAGTTCATTTTTTATATATTTTCTCCATTGCTCTACCAAAAGAACGAACTGCTCTTATTAATTAAGTCCGGCCAAATTAATTATGTAAACCAAACTTTATTCAAGTTCGGTTTAACTTAATCGAGCTTCCTTTCTCTTTATTTATTCCGACCTTCCTTTAATTATCTTCTCCACTAACTCACCGTCCTTCTTCTCCATTATTTCTTTTCTTTAAATAATTTATTCCTTCTTTCTAACTTTTAGGTCGTTTTTTTTAGTTATTTGAATTTCATGAGCTGGGCTGGGTCGAATGTGTTCTCACTAATTAAGTCTCGCCAAAGACCCACCCACCTCCTTGAATCCTTTAATTACGGCGACTAATATGCCTTCCTCTTCAACCTTTATTATATTATTACTAAGTCTTTCATCCGTACTACGCACGGATACGTCTTTATTAATTTTTAACTTTAATAGAAATTATTTGAAATTTGTTAAAGTACAATGTTAAAAAAGTTATATATTTTCTTTTTACTTTACTATTTAATTTATGAAGGAAATTCTTAAAATAATTAAGATATAGTTTTTAATTAGTTATTATTGAAATATATTTGAAAGTTTTGTGTCAACATTCATATTTGTATAGAGATTGTAATTTGTTTAATCGGGTAATCTGCTTTGTTATTTTCAATCATTTTAGCTGCATATTTTGTTTATAAATATTATTTGAAGTTCTTGTAATTCATTTTTCCATTTTTTCAAATTTTTTGAATTTCTACAATGCCCATCACTTTTGTTGTATTTTAAATTATTTGTTTTTGTTATTTTAAATCTTTGTTTCTATTTTTTCTATTTTTTAACAAAATAAACTAACATGTGTGTAATTCAAATAGGATTGGACTATTTGTCAATTGTAATTTCTGTAGAATAGTTAAGCTTATAAGATGTGTGAGTGGAGGGGTAAACGTGCTTACTCTTTTAGCTGTAGGTGAATATCTATTTTGGATTTAGTGATAGTATTGCCTACGTCATGAGATTTACAAGTCAATTCTGGGTAGCTGAAGTTCTCGTCGTTATTAAGGACCACTTTTCCAAGAGCGTCTACACAAACGAAGTGTAGTGTTAGAACATGATGAAATTTCAAAATATATGTATACATGGAGAGAAGAGATTATTTTACCATATTGGTCTATGTTTATGTTGACTGTTTCTTTAAATGCTCGAAGGATTGAATCCTAAAATTTTGCTTTTGAATAGTATGATCAGCTTGAGTGTCCTTAACTATTGTTATTTGTTGAGTGAATTGGATTTGAAATTTGTGAGAAGTTACTTTGTAGTTGGTCTTGTTTTCAAGGACAACAAAATTTTTGATTATGTAAACTACATCGGGCTGTAGTTCTTCATTATAGTAACCTATATGGTTAACTGATATGAATGCATAGATGATAATTGACTGCAAGACAAAAAAAAATATTATTAATATTGTCTTATAGCTTTTGAGTACATTATGAATTGTTAAATTTTGTAATTATTTGTTGATTTATGAAACCTTCTATATGTCGGCCACCCGATTTAACCTCGATTCCAATCTTTGTAAACCGAAGTCTCTCATGACCGGTCTCGATTAATACCAAATTAAATCGGAGGTGCGAAGTACACCACCAACACCCAAGCAGAGAAAGGAAGTGGTTTTAGCCAAAGAGCCAAAAGTCGGATCTGGATTGTTGTGCAAATCTCTGTGACTTGTTGAACAAATCTCTAAATAGGACTTGTTGTACAATTCACAACCTAACAGGAGATGATCCCGAGTCTCTTCCACCCTCGAAAACAAGCAGAAAGAAGTCGTAATATTCATTCCCATGAAGCTAGCCGAGACTTTGTCGGAAGTCTGTCTAACTGCAAAACTCGTCTTCAGATCATTTCCCACTTAACTTTTTATGAACTTAAGCTCCAGTTGTGTCAAATACATGCAGTCATGCAGTTGTGCAACAAGTCATAATTAAGGAAAGAAAATGCCACAATGTTCAAACATGTTTAGAGAAGTTGCTCGAATTGATTTACGTTCAAGAAGGCACGCAACACAATGACGATGTTCTCTACACAGTCCATTCATTCCTCTTGTTTATCAAAAAATGGAAGTAGTGTATCTTGTTAATGAGGATTCTACAATCTGTTCAGAGAAGTTGTTCGAATCATTTACTTCCGATCCAAGAATTGTAGGATGAACTATATTTCTAGCTACCTCTCTTGATGTGTTTTCATATACGCACAACAAAAGAACACTCGCATTTCATTCCTTCATATGCTTAATGACCAAACGAGTATATTCCCACCAAATACAATTACACTTAACTTTATTGCTTTACAGGTCCAATAATACGATACTGCAACACGAAAACTAATCTTAGCAGAAGCAGTCTCTTAAGTTGTATTTTACCTCGAACATGAATTTTCAGGCCAATTCCAAGTTGCATATATATGCAGAAGCTGAACCTCGAAGGGCTAGCCTGTGTTCTAGTCACTTGCACACTTGGTTGGTTCAGGTATGCAGAGGCCGGTGATACGCACATGTAAGACAACTTCAAGCAACATTCTCGGATCCATTGGCATCGCACGTCAAATTCAGAACCTCCATTAGTTCCATTCGATATTCCAAGCCTCTGAGATAATGTCCCAACAGCATGCACCTTTCAATACAAAATCAGACACTATGATATAAGACTGTCTTTGATCGTAGAACCAACACAAAAAAGTTTCTTTCGAGAATTGTGAGGATCTATTTACGGTAGTAAAATATAGGAAATCCATGTAAAGCCTAGCAAGCGAATGGGAAAGAGAGAGAAGTGAAAATGAAAGGCAGTTCTAACCAAAAGAGAAGACGAGCAAGGTAGTCTCGAGTCAGTGAGATAAGAGGCTGAAACTGAAGCGAAGTATTCTCAACAAGTTCAGCACAGTCTTCATCACTTTTCGATTTTACTGTTTCAGTAGGTGGACCTTCTGATGCTGGCAACTTGGAGTGCATCTTCGGTGATAGGGTTGCCAAAAGACCGTGAACAACAGAATGGATTGTCTCTTTCACCTCGGGAGCCGCGGGTTCTGACAACTCAGCTACCTGTTAAAAAAAAAAAGTTTAGATGATCAGAGAGAACCCGAAAGGCACTTGGCTTCAGAGGTTTTTACACAAACCTTCTCAGGTTGCAAAGATCTTAAATAGTCCAACAAATCATTCTTCTCTTCGCCAACAAACTGTTGCATTTGAAGGGCAGCGTTTTTTCGCCTCACTTCTTGTAATTCCTGTAATGCAGAAACATCATAACATGTTACATGAATAGATAAACTACAGAAAGAACGCATAGCATATCTACAAAACCAAACAAGAAAAGTTCCCGGCGAAGACAGGGACATCTGCACGAAGACTTTTTTTTATTACCATGTATAAATTTATGATTACATTAGAAACCGAACCTTTTTGACAGAAGACAATTTTGACTGAAGACGAAAGATATATTCTTGAGCTTCAGAGGATACTCTGCCCAAACCTTCTTGATCAATCATTTTAGAAGGGTTCTGGTTTTTGCTATCCTTTGTTGATGAAACGTTATTTTCATCAAAAAGCTCACCAAGTTCTCTATCATCAGGAAACGTCCCTTTCAAATCGTATTCAGTATTTTCTGTAGTGTGGCTTTCCAAGTCTTCACCATGCATGTCAAGGTTTTTTTCAAGAAAAAGCCGATATTCAGCATTCCGCAATGTATACCTGCAGAGTGTAACAAAACAATCGGATAGACGTACTCGAGATCTCTCATTCTAAGAGAGAATCCAGAACACACACCACTATGATGTGCTAAAAGCTCAAATTCATAAAAGAAATAACCTATCGAAACCTACATAATGAACAGAATTCAAAGAGATAAGAATGCTTCAACACAAGGTTTACTGACGCGTCAACTGAATCACAAAATGAATTGACTTTCAGGGTAATCATTACTCAATATGGTTCTTCTTGATGATCATAAATTTCTAACTAAAGCAGAGAGAATTGTGCCTAGAACAGCATCACAATTTGTTCATGTACTCGAAACCTAAAACGAAAACTTCGAATTACAAATGAATAACATTTGATGAGCATTACCCAGTCATCATAGAAGAAACCAATAGCTTTGACAAGGGTTCCCAAAGCGATTCGATGTGAACTTGAAACCTATCAGATGGAAGAAGACCCAACATTCCTGAGATTGTTCTTTTCATTGCATCCAAAGTTGTAAGTGGAACATCTTTTTGAATTAGACTCACATCTAATGGTTCAATCTCTTGGATAAGATCTGCAAGTAAGCATTTCTGAGACAAAAAAAAAAACGAAATCGAAATCAAATTCAAATTCTAAACTACTTGCATGGACAAGAGTTTAAGAAGAAAAGTTAGCGAAACCTTGGAAGGATTAGGTGATCGAGAATCGGAATGGAGAGTGAAATCGTCGAGGGAGAAACCATCCTCGCGATTACTGTTGAAATTGTTTGAGGAAGTTGCGGCGGAAGTAGTGAGAGTTAGGGTTCGAAATCTCGAATTGAATCGAGGAAGAACGAAAAGGAACGGAGAAGAGTTTGTGGGTTTACTACGGATACCTTGAGGAAGAGAAAGAGAGAAGGAAGAAACAGCCGTCGTCGTCGCCATTCCAGAGGGTGAAACTCTAATGGCGAAATTGTACGAAAATTCTTCTTCCTCTTTCTCTTCCTCTAAGCTCAAACCCTAATTCCCTATTGCGTTCTGATTTTCGAGTATTGTTAGCCACAAAACAAACCGGAACGTGACAAAAACGATGACTACACAGTTGCACAAATCCGTCAACGAACACGGTTTGCTGCTAACCGGTTCTATTGTAGTGGCTGGCTCAATGGTTGAACCGGTAACAGTATTCCATATTCGGAAATATGAGCTCAGAGATGTTAAAAATAGAAAAACCAAACTAAAACTATTGTAATTCTAACCGAAATAGATACTTAGACCTAAATCTGTCTCTAATCCCCTTAGCCGAATAGTGGACCAAGGTTCATTAATACTTCCATAATAAGAAATATGATGTATGAAATTCGAGAGCAACTCTATCGGAGGTTTATAAGGGTATGTTGACACAAAAGCATATACATTTTAATTTAAAAATAAATAAAAAATATTCAAATGTTAACATACTATCCTTAGCTAACAACTCAGTTGAGGGTTTATAAGAGATGTGTTCACATTTTATTGGCTGTAGGATTTTTTTTTGTTTTTTGATTGAAAATCTCATTTTTCTCCAAAATTACAAAAATATTAATAAAATAAAGTTAAATTCTCGTTGTCGAGCGGTTTGATTATGATTCCAATGTGAACGAGTTCTACAAGTTCGCTTTTGTAAGCAGGTAAATGTGCTTTTTCTATATATCCTTGTTCTCGTGAAGATTTTCTGGAATTACATGAGCTTCATTCTGCTACAAGTTGGGCGGTGCTAAAGAATGTTCCTCTTAAAATGTACTCCTTGGATTGTATAAGTGTTAAAGCAAGTGTTGTTGGAGATCCCCCCTCCATACGAACGAAAAATTCCAGGCTTGACTGATATCACTTTGGTGATACCAAAGTCAAAACAAATGTCGTTGTTGAAGGTTGTTTGTTATGTAAGGAACATTCTTCTTATCTCACTTATAAAGCTTATGAAAATTTGCATTAGGAATGACTGCTGAACATTCCCTAACCACTCAACTAATGGAAGTCTTTATTGGTTGCATAAGGGAATGCATCTAAAGCAAAGTCTAATTTGTTTTCATACATATTAGAATTCATTTTTTTATATCAAAAGAAAAATATTTTATTCTGATGTTGACTCGGTTAAATATAAACTATTAATCCAATTTAGTATATATTCAAATATGTAATTTCATTCATATAAAATACTATTAAAATTAATTATAAAACCAATAATTATCTAGCATTTATACAATTATATTACAAAATAAATGTAATTATAACCATTATTTATAATTGTATAATCAGTACATAAATTTAATATTATAAATATCAACTGTAATTATATTTATATATATTATATTTGTATATTCAAATAAAAGAATTATAGTTAATATTTATTTTGTACAGAGTGTGGATAATGGGAAAAGTGTTTATTCATACTTCAATTGCATAAACTGATATCTATTCATATCTGAATAATTGAGCTGTGCCCATACATACCCGAACTCTTTAAAATTGGAATATACATGTCTGAACAAACTTTTTTTTGCCGAAACGTACATTGACCATATTTTTGTTAGTCAATCCCAAATTTTGCCCCGACGTTAATGAAAATAGCCGCGAAACCGTAGGGAACCACTATCCCATGTATAATTATTGAGAATTGTTTCACCATTTAAAGTTTATACTAGTTGAGATTAGAAAAAACCATAAAATAAGACCATGTAGTTTCAATTATTTTTCTAATTGAAAAACAAAGTAGAAGTCTTCTTCTTCGAATGTGTAGCAGAACAATTTAAAGAGTTTAAATCCAAAATAACATGTTTTTAAGTAGACTTCTTTCGTAGACTTCACTATGAAAAAGTAAACTTCTCCTCCAGTCTACGTTTGAAGTCTGTTGTAGAAGTTTACTTATTGCATGTTTTTAAAAAACGTGTTTTAGGCAAATTTATAAAGTATTTTTTTTATTTTTTTGGATTAGAAATGTTTTTTAGTTAGTCATTGAACTATCCAGTGAATTTTATTTCATTTTATTCGATATTTATTGTGGAATCAGAAGTTTTGATTTTTAAGCTACTTAGCTTATCAAAGTAGACTTCATGGTTTAGTCTACTAATGTTCTTTGCGGGAGAAGTCTACTCTTTCTACAAAAGTCTTTCTGCAGTGTTTGCTAATATAGTTTATCTGGTTATTTTTCAGAGAATGACTCAAATTCCTGTTGTGTACGGGGAATGGAAGATTGAGGAGAATTCATGGCATTTTGTGGTTGACATTGGCAAAGGTGGAAAAATGTTTTTTTTTGAACGATGGTTACGTCTTGGGGGAGCTTACTAAGATGGCCCGAGATGATTATAACTTGGGCAAGAAGACTGAGCTCATCGAGTTAACCTACTCACTACTAGACTCAATGTTGCAAACTATGGCTCCAGATACACCTCCAATGCATGTCACCAATGACAGACAAGTTTCAAGCTTGATTGCGTTAAGCAGAATGCATATGGTACGGTTTTGTGTGTCCACTCGAGTGGAGATGGATACTGAGGAGAACCAGGAAGGCTCAGATGAAGATTTAGGTGAGGAATCTGAGGAAAATTCAGAACATTCTAGCGATGATGAGGCAGCCAGTTCTGATGCGAACGAGGATGGAGAAGATGGAGAAGATGCAGCTTACTCTGACAGAGAAGATTACAGTGTCTACTATGAATAGAGAGATAAACATCTTCTAGCTAAAAAGAAAATAAAAAGACGCTGAACAAATTTAAAAAGAGGAATTAGACCTAAGAGAAATGTGAGTTAGTTGTGGGAGGTGAACAACATATGTAGGCTAACGATATATATAGTGTAGGATAGAGTTTTAGAGTTTTTTTAATTTTTTTTGGGTGGTCCATTTAATAGATTCGGTGAATTAAACAAAACCGCTGGCTCATTAACTAATTCAATGACCCGTAACTGATGTAAAATCATATTAACTATATTGACACGTATGATTAATGATAATCCAATTAAAATTAAGAAAAAATGACATATATATAGTTTTTAATATGACACATAAATAAATCGCTCTAGAGACGACACATAGAATTTTTGACTTCGGAAATAATAGTATAGAATCTACTCTAATAAAAATAGAAGTTTGAGGCTCCTAAAGGTATCTACATCAGCAGCTTTTAGTTTAGTTTCAAGTAGACATGTGGCATTCTTAAAAATTGTGAAATCGTAGCTTAATCGACAGTTCTTTGCAAATTGCCATGTCAGCAAGTTCACACCCACGCCATGTCAGCAAGTTCACACCCACGTAAAAGAAAAGAACTCATTCCTAATTAGCCGTTTTAATACTTTCGTTTCTTCTTCCAAATTCAACGTCTACCATTTACCAAGACTAAATGATACCTCTTCGTATTCTACATCCACAAATATTGATTCCAACAAACCATACATATGTTATTTTCTTGGGATGTCTTCTAGGATCGAAGAACTGTGAGGTTTGTACTTTTTGCTTCATATATACCCAAAAGATTTTCATTCGTGGATTTCTAATTTTGTGACCAAATCATGTAGACAAGTGAAAGGTATTGAGAAGAACGGCGAGAGGTTGTGGAGGAAGAAAATAAGGGATCATGCGGCATGCCAGTAGAAATTTTAATACCATGGTTAGAGACACTCAACTACATGATATAAGTGGTGAAGATGAAGAAAGGAAAGAAGGTTCCGACTTTGAACCCTAATTATCTAATTTCAGATATTCAAAATTGTTATGTAACTTCATAATTTGTAGATAATTAAGGATTCCAAACCTTGCTTCTGACAGAGAAGGGGGTGCCGATGACTAAATGAGATGGTCAACTCTTCGCTGATTTCAAAACTAAAGCTTTCATCTTTTGCGTCCTTCGACTTCTCCCTTATTTCAATTTCATCTTTCAGTTTGGGGTTTCAGTCAATTTTGGTATGTTCACATAGCATTTTTTTTTTCGAATATTTAAGAGAAATTAGATACCCTAATCTCTTGGAAAAATAATTCAGCTGGCGCACACATAAAAATGATGGAATATTTTAACTTCTATATGTTAGTGTAGTTTAACTTCACGGTGGTATTCTATGTATTGTAGTGCTTAGCATCTTGAAAAATAATCTATAATTAACACGTATTATCTTTTTGTTTGTTTGCAGCGTGTATATACAACTTTAGCTTCCAATATCTATTTTAAAAAAAAACGTGACGGTAAAGAAGCATGATTTAAACCACTCTCCATCCTCTCCCCAGCCTGGTTAGGACCCAATCAAGGGATTTTTTTTTTTAAAAAAATCTTACAAAAAGAAAGAGGATATTTTAAGTTAATAAGTATGTCACAAATATTCTATTTTTGGCTAATATATGAAGTCATGGCTGAAGGTCTGAACATCTAACTCTCCAACTTCTGAATTTTAGTTCATAAAAAGTGATCGTAATGTACATATTTAATGGAATATCATATCCACAGATTTAGTGTTTTGATGGTCAATCAAGATTTGAATTCGTATTCTCACTTAGATGCTTATATGGTTTTAACTAATGTCTATGTACATAGAGGTGAATACAAAAAGCTATTAACAGCAATCCAATCAGCTCTAGCAACGTACAATATCAAAGTAGGCATGAAATATTTTACCTCTGTTAGCTAACAAGCCTACAAAACATATTAAATTTGGTAGCTTTCCTTTCTTATATTTGATGTTGTAAAGTTTCTGAGGGAGCTTTCCTTAAGTTCCTTTTGGTTCATCCTGAGCTTGAGTTACCATGTCTGAAAGTACGAACAATAACAATAAATTTTGAGTGCATGGTGATGATAGACGATATCATACCTTTGGGTAGTTTAATTAGAGAACATGAAATTGTAGTTGTCCGAGGTGTGTATATTCATCCTACCAGTTTGTGCATCTCTTTAACTTTCATTACTTACACATCACTGAAATGTTAAATCACTATGCATGAGAGTAACAAGCCGCAGATTGTGGTTTAAGGGGTATAAAAGAAAAACAGTATTTTCTGGATAAAATCAAAGAAAGTTATTGTTCCTCTCAGCCAGATTTATAACTTATCATTTTCATGTATTTCTTTTCTTCAATCAAGTGCTTACCTCACGCCCCGACTATAGAAAATTGAAGTAAGAGTCTTTTCCAAAACTATGTTTTTTTTTTCAAATGGGAAAAGCAAACTATGCTTCATCTTTTTCTGTCTAGACAACCCTTTTGCTGATCTTGGAATATATTCAATTAATAATGTATGTAACTATTATTTTTAAAGAGTTTGGCATGGTTCGTGCTCCATTAGAAATTTAGTGTAATAAAAAAACTACTTCTTGATTGTGAAAGTATAATCGTGGTTTAAATAATATAGTGGGATGTGATTGCCCATAAGTAAAACAAATAATGAGCCAAAAAGTCTAGCGTAACTTTATTAAGTACGAGCTGCTGAGTTATTATGTGATGTGTGAATCTGATTTACTTTGACTTAAAAAAAGTATGGTATCTCATTTGTGTAAATTATACTATGATATAACAGAAACAAACTATCTCCTTTTATTAGTGTAGATTAAGGGTTAAAACACAAACTTTACAAAACGTTAAAATAAACTGTGTAAGAGAAAATTGTTAGTACACAGATTCGTAGGACAGTGTGTGATAAGACTACAAATGTAAATTCAATTTCATAAATTACAATATATTGATTATTGTCGTTTGTCGTTGTATATATAGAGATATCGGCTTATAGAGCTCAAAACCTTACTCCCGTACGGGTAACTAAATGAGTCAGCGGCTCGATAACCAAATGGGTCAACGACAAAGAAAACCAAAATTAAGTTTTTCTTACATATGTTCGGTAGAGATTATGTTTTTAAAATACAAATAGACATTTAATAAATTTAAAAAATCTTATTCGAATACATATTACCATCCAAAATAAGTATTTAAAAATTATTAAATTTAAAGTTATTTTTTTTATCAAAATAATCTGCGCGTAGCGCGGATCAATTACTAGTCCAATTAAAATTAAGAAAAATAACACATATATAGTTTTTAATATAACACATAAACAAATCGTTCTGGAGACGACATATATGATTTTTGACTTCGTAAATAATAGTATAGATTACTCTGAAGATGATACATATAATTTTTGACTTCGTAAATAATAGTATAAATTTCTCTAAGGAGTGATTCTGGTTATTCTTCATCTCTCATTCAAACGACCGAATGAGTCTGATACTGTATTTAGAGATGACAAGGCCCATTAATAACAAACTTCAAGTCCAATTTGTTTTCGGCCCTTTCTCTTTTTATCAGACAATCAGACAAACAAAAAAAACTCGGTTCCTTAAACCCTAGTCTCGTCATCGCCGACCATCGTAGACCATCGTAGACCATCGCACCAGTGTCAATGGCGAAATCCTTATCCCGCTCTACCGCCTCACGCATCGCTAATCGTTTCTTCTCAACCTCCAGAGCTGCCTCTCCTTCTCCGCTTCCTTCTAACCATATCTCCCGTCGATCCTCACCGACGCTGTTCCACGCCGTCGGATTCATCCCCACTTCGAGCCGTCTCACTACGATCCGGACCAGGATGGATAGATCCGGTGGATCGTACTCGCCGATCAAATCCGGATCAAATTTCAGCGACCGACCACCTACTGAAATGGCGCCGCTATTCCCCGGTTGCGACTACGAGCATTGGCTTATCGTCATGGACAAGCCCGGCGGCGAAAACGCTAATCGCCAGCAAATGATCGATTGCTATGTTCAAACCCTAGCCAAAATCGTCGGCAGGTAATGTTTTTTCTTCTTCCCCATTTTCTACAATCTTCTTCGGCCTTAGTTCACTATAACATTTGCACAGTGACTGTTATTTTGTTTATCAGTGAGGAAGAAGCTAAGACGAAGATCTACAATGTTTCTTGCGAGAGGTATTTTGGTTTTGGCTGTGAGATCGATGAGGAAACATCAAACAAACTTGAAGGTAATCTCTCTTTTTCGAACACACAAGTTAGATCTCTTTAGATGATTTGATTGTAAATTGATGTTTTCTTGGTTCTTGTGTGTTTTTAGGAATCCCTGGTGTTCTGTTCGTGCTTCCAGACTCTTATGTTGACGCAGAGTACAAAGATTACGGAGGTTAGTCTAGCAAACTGTTCTGCATTTTTCAAAAGTTATGTATCAATATTGATCATTTCTTTGATGTCTTGTGTCATAAATCAATCCATTCCTATTTTATCGAATTTAGGAGTTCAATGAGTTGATCAGAACGAAGTGAAAAAAACATAACTCGTAAAAATCATTTTCTGTAATGATGCATTGTTCATGGGGAAATTGATCGTTTAGTTCCCCAAGTATTTCTCAACTATCGAGAGCGCAAATTTGATCCTCGAGTTTGCATTGACATTGCAAATGAAATAACCAATTTTTCAACTTATACTCTTTTTGAGAACAATATATCTAATTTGATTGGTCCATGACTTCATGTGTAAGAATGATTGAAGTTAGTAAGTGATTATCTGGCTAATGTAGATCGAACTTGTTTTTTGCGCTGATTCTAATTAGCTAATCAAGTCTTTGGTGATTGTTTTTTGCTATTGCAGCTGAGTTGTTTGTGAACGGGGAAGTAGTTCCGCGGCCACCGGAGAGGCAGAGGAGGATTACGGAGTTAACAACTCAAAGAACCTCGGATAGACCAAAGTATCATGACAAAACCAGATATGTCCGACGGAGAGAGAACATGCGTTGACTCTAATTCTTGGAGTCTATTCTAAACATCGCTCCTATCCCTTTGAACTTTGATCTTAATTGCCTCTCTTTTTGATTTATTTTATTTTCTCCACTCTGTATGTAAATGGTGATCCGTGATCATAATGATGATGATGATGGTATTATGGATGAGGTTGGTTCTTCTTATGCGCTTGAATGATTTAATTTCTAGGCTGCTAGCAGGTATCGAATTTACAATACTTTATCAATCGCATTATGTTGGTGCGGATTAATCAGTAAAACAACTTTTTTTCATTTATAAGTTAAATAACTTATTATAGACAGTGATTGTAACGTCATGATAGAAGATTTTGATCATTTTTTTTTTCTTCTTGGGATGGTCACATATGTAATATCAATATGTTCCCCAAGAAGTTTGAGGAATGTCACATCATTTACACACGGGTTACAATGGAATGGGATTAAAAACACTTTTAGTACTTGGTTTCACGTTGGTCCACCCTCCATCAGAACTTAGCTCGGGCCCTCAGTTCCTTTGGCTCTGCTGGGCTCTATGGACAGCTAGAAACCTTCACCTATTCGAGAACAGAGTTTTCATCCTTGTAGAAACGGTAACTAAGGCTATCACTGAAACCAAGGAATGGTAGGAAGCTCAACTCACCGTGCAACAAAAGAAACCTGTCGAACTGACCACTTGCAATACTGATATCGCGTGGTCAGAAGAATCAAAGAGGGTCGGTTTGGGATGGATCTTCTACAATAATGATGGGACTGAAATATGTAGAAACCATGTTGCAGAAGAATTTGTTTTATCACCCCTAATGGCTGAGGCGTTGGCTTTACAATCTGCGTTGACTCACGCCTTAGAGATGGGATTCACAAAGTTTGCCTTCAAGTCGGATGCTCAGGACTTAGTTCGAGCTATCAACAATCGGGATCAGATAAAGGAGTTCTACGGACTCTTTTTCAACATCCTCTATCTTGCTTCTCAATTTTATGTTATCTCCTTTTGTTTTACTCTGCGTCTAGCTAATGTGTCAGCTGATGCTCTGGCAAAGCAAGCTCTTCGTGAGCTTGATGCCTCTATCTCTGCTTTGTAACATTTAAACTTTATTTAAATGAAATTGTTGACCAAAAAAGTACTAAATGCTTCCAAACACTACTAAATTTTTTTAAAAAATTTGTTTGGAAAAGTTTTAAAATTATCATAATTAATTGTAATATTATTTAAAAAAAAAATATTTTATATATAAATTTAATTACGAAAATTAGATATTAGTTTAGATAACTAAAAAAATTCTTAAAATTCAAAAACAAATTTATAATTAATTTTAATTCTAAAAATATATATTAATTTAAATTACTTTTGACTTTCTTAAATATAGTTTAGATTTAATTTAATATTTTAAATTTAAATAATATTTTTCAGAATAATATATGTGATTAATAAATACGTTATTGTATTTTTAAATTATATTCAATCAGATTAAAATTTTACATATTGAAAACTGATAAATATTAATATTATATAGTAATTTTACATATTGAAAACTAATAAATATTAATATTCTATGGTAAAATAGTAAAAAATTTATGTACATTTTCCAAAAAATATATTGACCGATATAATTGTACTCCGCTTCATGGTAACAATAGGTATATCATAATATATAGAAAACTTACATGATCATTGTGATTAAAGTTTATACTCTATTTAGTAGAATTCATTGGTCAAAAATAATATGCTATATTATAAGTATAAAACAACACAAAACCATATGGTACTCATTATAATAACAACAAAATGTGGAAAATAGACAAATTACGGCAATAATTATTAAAAAGTTGTCAAAGTAGATTAATAATGTTCATAAATAAAGATAGTAACGATAACTTCCATAAAATACTAAAAATCTAGCATAAATATTAAAGGATTCAAGATTATCCCTAAATATAGAGGAATTGTAACAGAGATAGTTGAGTTCATGAGATAAAATGAAATAAGAGTTGGTGGAGGATTTCACAGCCAGCTTGGATCTCCATGGATTTTAGTAAATGGTAACCTGTATGATTGTACGAAAAATAAGATTCACAGAAAATAAACAGTAAAATGAATATAGGTTTACTGAAATTAGTGTTATATCAATCTAGAAAATCGGAAACTTCTTTAATATGTGGATTAAAAAGTTTATGAGATTGGTCACCAGCATTTCTGATGAAGCTTTCCCTCTAACTCTTACAACACTTTGAAAGCTCGCAAGATTGGTCCACTTGAAGTCCTTAAGAAGATAAATAACAATGCGTACATGCTATGTCTTCCACCACACATGAACACCGCAGATGTCTTCAATGTCAAGCACCTGTTTCCTTACGTACCTGATGATGAAGCTGAAAATTTGGGGATGATTTTTCCCTTACCCGGGGCGACCTGATGTAGTGTCATATCATTATGGGCTGAAGTCTTTATTTGGTTTTAAACTTTAGGTTTGTCGTTGGGCTTTTAATTACTTACGTATTTCCTTTTCATCGATTAATTCACCATCATAGCTTTAGGGTTTTATTACACGACATATAAGTACTCTAGCTTCAGCTCTATTATTCATTGGTTTTTGAGTTATAAAGAAAGAGAAGTTCTTCTCAACTTCTTGTGTAAAGCAGAGCTTTGCTTCTAGATTTACTACAAGAGCTATCGATAAGAAACTAAGAGCTTGCGAACTCTTGTTTTTTGTCCTTTACGCTTTTAGGTGCTGCAACAAAAAGTAATAAAAATAGTAAAGAAAAGAGATGAAGTTGCGGAAACATTATATATAAAAGAATGGTGATAAAGTTATTGTTACCTATAACTAGAAAAATAAAATGTACATATCAATTTTATCCAGGGAAATAATAATTGTAGATGTGATAATGTGATGAGCTGTGTTTTTAAAACCGAACCGGAAAATCTCTTGGGTCATGGATTAATATGATTTGCCTAGGTTCATTCGGGTTTGATAATAATATTTTACAACTTTTAATTAATTAAATATTAAATAAATTTCTTTAATAATTATATTGTTTGGAAAAATTTATTAAAGAACAATCAACGTAAAAACTTAAAAAAAAAAAGAAATTAAGCATTTTTTAATTGAACCCGATTTTATATGGATTGTTGGTTTTGGTCAGTTTTCGGTTTTTTGGCAGTTCAATCCGGTTTTAAAACCGGTATATCCTTCTATGGATTTTGGTACTAATCCAACCTGGCTAAACTTTTGGTTTGCCAGAACCTGAGTCCGTAGGACCTGAGACGCGTGATGTGTAGCGCCTGAAGGCTGGAGCCTGAGTCCACAGGACCTGAGATGCGTGGTATTTCAAGATTGGAGCCTGGGTCCGTAAGAAATAAGGCGCGAAGCTCTCTAATGCTATAGCCTGGCCATTAGAACAATCTGCAAAGGGGGATTCGTCTGTCAAGTGTAGCGCTGTTCCAAGACTGATCCACAAGTAGATTGTCAGCCCAGAGTATTGAGTAACGAGCTGAGGAGTTTGAGCAGATCGCCATTTGTATAATGAATGAGCTGACCCTTACTTTTGTTTCATCCGACTCCGTAGATTCTCGCATTGGGAGGGAGCCTTTGGAAGTTACCGCAGCCAGCATCAGAGTTTCCAGTCCCTCCTGTTCTAACCTTGGTATTCTTAGAGTTGTAACTAGGTCTCTAAGAAGGTTGTCGATCTGACTCTTCCCGACTAGTTTTTCTGTTCTCTAACTGTGATGATCTGTGTTTTTCCATATCTTTATTTATTTATTTGAAGTTGGTTCCTGAAATGGTGAACTGGGATATTGAAGAAATGCCTTTAGTTTGTTATCATGATGAGGCAATTTATTGAGATTGAGGAATGTGCATATTGTTAGGCTTTGCTGGGTTTATCTTAGTGTTAGGATAAAACACGTTTAAAAAAATCACCTGCTAAGTTATAGGTCTATTATTATCTTTGAGACGTCTAAGACCAGCGTTTCGAGAGATGTGGGCCTAAAAAAAACAGATATTGGGTTTAAGGTGTTTAGTTCGGTGTATAGGGATAACAATATAGTCTCAACTAATGTTCCTGTTTCGAAAGTAAACTTTGGTGAGATCTGAGTATATCCGATCTTGAATTTATATACGGCACTTTTATCCATGGAGGATGTTGTTGACCCCAAGTCCTTATAGGAAGAGTGGTAAAAAAGGTTTAGTGGATTTTTCTGAATCCGTCTATTGTGGCCATAAACGGGACGAGGTGAAAGAGCTTGAACGGAGTCGAGGAAAAAACTAAACGAATTTGAAAAGAGTTGTAGCAATAAATTGAGGAAAGCTCACACTGGCTTTTTTTTTTGTTTAAAACACGTTTTTTAAAAAACATAAATGAGTCAGACTGTGAAGAAATTGGAAGTATAAGTATATAAGTACCCACGAGAGGGGACAGCTGAACCTATCCGAAGATAGGTTGCCTACGTAGAAAGGTTTCACTAGGACAAGAGGACTTTCTAAATAGTTCTTCAATTCCTGAAATGCCTTTTCCCTTTGGTCGTCCCATTCAGACTTCTTGTTTCCTCTTAGGGTGTCAGAGAAAGGCAGACACTTATCGAAGGAGATGTTATTCATGTGGAGCTGTTTGAAGCAATCTCATAGGTGTGCTACGTGATCCTTTTCTTCGAGTGATTTCACTAACATGTCACCTATGTAGACCTCTATGGTTTTTCCGAGCTGTTCCGTGAACATCTTGTTTAATAGCCTTTGGTAGATAGCTACGGCGTTTTTGAGTCACCTTGTATTAGTATATTCTTCAATCTGTTATGAATGTCATCTTCTATCTGTCGTCGAGATTCATCAGGATCTGATTATATCAAGAGAAAACATCCATGAAAGAGAGCAATTTGTTTACTTTTAGTGTTTCTACTAGGCGATCAATGTGTGGTAGAGTAAAACTATCTTTTGGGCACGCTTTGTTGAGATCTGTAAAAATTAATGCACACTCGCCACTTTACATTTTTATTCACCACCGAGGGGATTTGCAAGCCAGTCAGGATATTTTGCCTTGGCTATCGGTCAAACTTTTAGTAATCTCTCCTCTTCGTCGTTCACTGCTTTGGCTTGTTCTTCTCCCAGCTTTCTTCTTTTTTGCTTCACTGACTTGAAGGTCAGGTCTACATTCAGCTCATGACATGTTACACTTATGCTAATGCCCAGCATATCCTCTGTAGTCCAGGCCAAAGTAT